CCCCAAAACCCCAAAACCCCAAAACCCCACAAGTTTATTATACTAAAAATTGCATAGAAAATTATAAAGGAGCAATAATTTATATATTCAGATTTATTTTATCTCTTTCATTTTGAATTCAATTTGTTTTAATTCTATGAGTATCCATCCTATGCATATCATGTCTATTTCTCATCACCCTTTTTATCTTTTTTTGATGACTTTGAATTCTTTAATTTCTTATATATAGTACTGACATTAGCTATGCATTGTTTAGCATCATCCTCCTTATCAAATTAGAAACTCATTGAAACTTCTTTGAAGTTGTTCTATAAAGATATTTTTTAAGAATATGTATAATTCTTACCTTTCTTTTAAATGCAAACTGATAACTAATAGTAGGTTTCTAGTCTAATTACTAAACTATACCGTTTTCAAGCGAATCAATGTCATATTCTTCTAGCATAGGTATACGGAAATAAAATGTGATGGTCTTAGAGGAAGATTTTCTCGAGGTGATTTTTATGAGATCATACATCAAGAATCTGCTTTCGAGGATGGCAAATGGACCAACATTTTACCCTTGCTTAAGCATTTTATTCCTCTTTGAGTCTTAATGATCTAATAGTTGAGGATGAAGTTCATCAAAATCCGCTTGATCCCACTCTTCAATTTAACTCAATGAAGACTCAATACTCTAGTTAACTAAGCCACTATTTCTGTTAGATCTTACTCTAAAACTTTCACGAATGACTGAAACAGTGTCTATGAAAAAATTTAAGAAATTTCAATGTTTCATTACATGGAGTGATAATCAGCTAAACTGGGTATTGTTATTACATATCGTCCTTTGTTGGTGGCTCTTATTTCTTTTTCAAAAATTGCTTAATGCACTAGTAAATAATGCTTGTTTTTTTAGTATTGATCATCTCAAATTCATGCTTAGTAACTTCATAAAATTTAGTAACTCCATTTAAGGTGTAGTAATCAATTTTATTCAAAAGATAAGGATTAATCTGCTGTTGCTATTATTATTGCAATTTTAATTATTATTGTTATTGCGAAGATATATTTTATTGTTTCTACTCCTCTTAAATTTGCAAATTGGCTTAAATTTTATTATTTACCTGCTATTGCTAAGAGATTTAGGCATTTGGCTAATTTTAAATTTATTATTCTTAATTTTTTTCTTTTGAAGGAGGTCTATTCATCTTATTGGAATTTTGATTTTCATTCCCATCTTTTTATTAGATATTGCTGTTCTTAGCTGGCTAAATTTATGCCTAGCCACTACTGATAAGTTCAATCTTTATAATATTTTGATCATTTATATCCTTCATAGCAGATTGTAACTTTTCCTCCTCCTCTTCTTTATCCTAAGGCTATTTTTCATTAGGTGGAGAAATCATTATTTAGATTTCTTGTGTTTACTGACTGATTTAAGGATTTAAGATGTTGATCTGATTGCTTTTCTAATCAGATACAAGATACTATACCTGAGTATTTTAAATTTGATTAGCAGCTTTTTGAAGCAGTTAGATGTCATCCAGGTTAGCCTGTGTATAAATAATCTCACTTCTATCACCAGGTACTTTCGACATAAGTTTGTATGACATGATTTTCTTGTTACTGATCGCATCTCTGAGATTGTTCCCATCAGCTGTATGTGATGAATTAACTGAAACGTTACTACTACATTAACTACCTTAAAGTTAGTTGAAGAGCTCCTGCCTTGATGACTAAGAAACAAATGATATCGGCAATGAACCTAAGGTTATTTCAGGCTGCTTTTCTGAATCTTATCCCTAGCTAGTTAGAATCATGTTATTTGAAGTAGTAGTAACATGAAAATTAGTCTCCTGATCATTTTAGTTTGAAATACCCGGCAGCTTGCTCTGATCTTCCGTAGTTTTATGCTGGTGCTTTGATTGTTTGTGAGGCCCATTATTTCTACTTTCATTTTACTATTTTTACACTACAATGCTTGAATATATAGAACTTGAATTAGATGAATTGTTCTAATTACTATTATTAGAGGCAACATCTAAAGATTAGTTTTACTTAACTTACTGCTTTTAATTCACATTTTATTAAGAATTTCCACTCTGATTATTGCCTAGCATTTTTATTGGTCCCTTAACAAAAGATTTGATCTTAGTATTCGCAACATCATACCAATGTTTAAACCCATTGAAAATGTCTGAAAATCCATTAATATTATACTTCTGCTCATATTACAGTTTATCGGTTTTTGAATCACAATGAAAACATTTATTTTTCTCATGATTTAGGATTTAAAAGTTATATTACTATGATATTTCATGACATTCTTTGAATCCTCCTGGGATCACACTTATATACTTAAATCCTTTCAGCTAAAAATCTTCTATTAAAAATCTTAGAATGCTTTCATGATAGGCTTTAATGTCAAAGAAATTTTCGTTATTAGTCTCAACTTTCTTCTATTTTGATTATAAAGGCTCTAAACCCACTAAACAAATATGATAAATATCTTTGCAACTAGATAATCTATCTATCTAATCTTGGAGATATTCTATGTTACACTCAGTCTAAATTGAAAGCTAAAAGCTATTTGGGAGTAGAGCTTCTTTTTGAAGAGCTTCTAATCTGCAATCTACAATTAGAAACCTTATTTTTTCATAATAAAATTCATGGCTTTCTTCCTCTTAATTTTGCTGAGTTTCCTAAATGCTAATAGAAAACTCTGACTCTTAGTTATCCATAAATTATTATCTATCTTCGTATTCTCTTTTTTTTAAACATTTTCTACAGTATTCTAGTCTAGATACATTTAGAGTTTACAGACCAGATTAAAGGAGGCTTGGTTAAAGTACTGATATTCTTTTTTATTCGATAATTGAACCACCCCCATTAGATGATGGTGCATTTTATTTAGAAACTTTGCATGCTGATGCTGATAGACCTCTACCATATGAATTATGTTTCATACTGGCTCTTTAAAGATTTGGAAGTTTAACTGTATTTTAAAAACTGTTTTATGAGCTTAGAATCAGACTTTAATTATTTTATTAATTTCCTATGTAAGTACTAAGATGAGCCTTTGGACTACTTCCTATTCTTGGTTCTTGAACCGTCATAACTGTTGTATTCACATTATGATTTGCTCTTCTAAGCATCATTTATCTTTATTCTTCCGCTTATGACAGATGCTTCATCCTAGTTGTTTCATTTATTAGGTCAATGTGAGACTCTTATTGTTCTTAGTTATCATCATAAACATTTGAGTCAGTTTCGAGGGGCATTCCATCTGCTTTAGCTGGGCTTTACTTATTCATATTTTTAAATGGTGATCTTGATGAACTAATATCTATACCTTTATAATACTCCTACTCATTTATCTACAGATGACTGATTTGCCCCTTAATTGGACTAGTTTGATTTGATGTCATTCTAGTATTTAATTGTTGCTACTATTTATGATTGATTTCCTTCTTTATAATGTCATGAATATTAGCTTTTCTTTATTATAGGAGTTATAGCTACTATTTATTTGTCATATCTGCTGCAGTCATTCTCCTTTGTTGATACTAATATTGAACTTGATATGAATCATCCTGAACAGGATTTTTCATTGACATCTCTCTAACTGGTGACATCAAATCATGATCTTCTAATCCTAAGGATTATCTTCAATTTTATTAGAGCTAAGTTTATGCTTAGATTTAAGATTAAATCGAAAATTAGGTACTCATTGTAGGTGACTAAAGCCCACTTAGCATTGATTAATTCATCTTGAATCCATTTAAAGAGTTTTAACATTTTGGATTTGAACATTGAAGTATATCAGGATATGCATAGAAGAAAAGCTCCTCTGGAAGAATTGGTAAGCATGGTATATTTTCAATCTTTTCTAGAAATTATGCAACAGCATCTTTTTCCATCTATTTAATATCAGATTAAAATATCTGCTTGATTTCTGGTAGCTCCTTAAATGAATAAGGAGTACTATCTTGTAATTGCTGTGCTCTAAAATTCAAATAAATTACAAATAAAACCTTACTTTTGCCAGATTTATCTCAGTTCATCAATTGAATTTATAGTCATTTTAGACATTACGGATGGTAAATGGGATTGCTCACAGTCTAAAATTATCTACTTTATTAGACTAATAGTTCTTACAATCTTATTATGTATTAGAAGAGAAACTGAGAAAAAGAAGATAAAGAATTGATCATCTTCTTCTAAGATCATATCCCAAAATTCAACAATAACATCGATTTCAAATTTACTATATTTAGATAATAATAAAAATGTTACTTTGCGAAGAATGTGAGAAACCAAGGTATTGCATACATTTCTGGTGTGACTTAGTTCACCTCAAGATAGTTTACTAATTCTGGATCATGATATTTAAAAAGCAGCTATAAGAATTATAAAGCTGCTTGCAATGTTAAAAACTCTTCATCCTAGTAAAATGTTGTCAAGTATCTCCAGATAAAAGCTGAGAAGCAATTATAGCTGAAATTAAGCTAGAATCCACATTATTACTAAAGATACACAAATGGTGCTATTATCTATAATTTTTAAAATTGAAATATTATATTACCTCATTCATTCCTTGCTTGTATCTAATGCTATTTCTTTTACAGTATAATGTCAACATCAATTCAATATTATCTTTATTCAAATTTTCTGATCCTCTACTTCTATCAGCATCAGCTCTAATTACTCTTTGGTTTTCTAAATCACATACTGTTGATTTTATGATATTATCGTCCAAAGGAATCTGATCACAAAACATTCTTTCGATTTCATATTGTGAAACTAAAGTTTCTAGTTTATTCTAAAATTGTCATTAAAAGAAGTTTAATTTTACTCTCATTCTAATGGCTTAGCTTTAATCAAAGGACTCTTCTAGTTTTTATTGCTGTTACAATTGGATTTATTATGCTAACTGTTAAGAATTATTCAATTGGATTGATACTGAATGCTATTACTGCTACTTTTACAAATTTTATTAATTTTTCAGCTAAAGATTGGCTTATTAGTCTAACTAGCTTTTGTTGTTTGAGCTTAATTTGTTTTTATTCAATGCCCTAGGACTCAAATCAAAATCTTACTAAACCTAGCTATTACTTGTATGTCTATGAGTAATTCTTGAACTCCCAAGGTTACTATTTTGTAAACTGCTATTTGAAGGAGTTGACTTTTAATTATGATTATTATTGTGGTAGCTTGAACTATGGGTCTTAGTTTTACCCTAAATTTGTGGTTAATAAGTATGATTGCCACTTGAATATACATTTTTAAGTTTATTTTGCTGATTAGTTCTAGGTGAAACATTCCTCAAATAGTTATTTTGATTTGGCTGATTTCCAAACCCCGAGGAAGTGCTATTTTGAGATTAAGGAGGGAAATGAAACGAAGTTTAAGCTTTTTGTTCCATTAATCTGACTGATTATTTAATTTAAGAATTAACTTATTGATTATATTAACTTTTTATCACAATTACGAGAATTATTAATTTAGAACAGAAAACGAAATGAAAACTGAAAGAAGGCAAAGCCATTATGAACTGGAATAGGATTTGTGTGACTATTGCCACACCAAAATGGATTATGAAAGTGAGCTTAACCTTTCATTTGAGGAACTAGAAGATGAGGAGATTGGAGAAAATCTCAATAAATTAAAACATAATAACATCCGTTCAGAATAAGTTTTGCTTGAGTGGAAAAGTAAAATGGATATATCAAATATACGCATTTCAAGCTCAACTAGATTTCCAATAAAAATTTTTCACTCTAACTATTTTATATAGTCTTTTGAAAATTTTGACTATGAAAATAGTAGAGCAAGGATGTAAGGATATTTTATCTTATTAATATACTGTTTTAGAATAAAAGTTCTCTTAAAGTTTCCAGAGATAAAGAAAATTTACCTTTATCTTTTCTGGATATATTTTGGACTGAAGTTTAAAAATTTGGCTTTAAATCCCTATGAGTAATAGATTTTAAGTAATTTTTTTTCAAATTACCAATTTGGTAGTCAAGCAATGGAGATTGAAACTTCAGTAGAAATACATTCTTTTATATCAAAAATATAAGCCATCTGAAGGAGTATTGGAATGGTACTTCATTAATTTAAACATTCATTTCATCACTTATAATTTAATGTAGTTTACCTTTTATTATCGGCTATGCAATAAGAATAGCTATTGAAGATAAGGTGAGATATGGCGAGAAAATCCTGACTCTTCACAATGGTTTAAAAGAAATATATTAATTGATGTTTAAAGAAATTACTGGCCTCTCTATCGGATAAATTTATATAGAGAAACATCTTTCTAAGTATTCAAAAAGAGATTACTTTGAAATGAATAAGCCATCAAAAGAAGTGGTTGAGTTTATGAAAGCTAAGGGAGATATTAAAGAATTCATGAGAAAAGGAATGACTATTTAATTTCAATCATACTTAAAAAGTAGTAAAATATAAAGAGATCAATTTGAACATGAACTTAGTGTAGTTCTAAGTACGAAATAGTTTTAAAAGGCTAAGAAGAAAACTGATGAATTAAGATATCCTCCTATGGACTTTTATGAAAAATTTCTAAATCAAAACATAATAGAAAACCTAAATAATGACGATGAAATTGAAAATTAAAGCATGAGCAGACTAAGTAAGTCTATTTTTGGAGAGAGAAGCAAATCTACTTTTGTTAAAACTCAAATAAATATTAGCAGAGTATCACCTATGCTTAGAAGTGTAATTCAAACTGACTCATATGTCCCAAGATAAGTTGTACTGAGCTTCAGAGACAGGAAAATGCTTGAGAAAAGTGACTCTAGCGTAATAATATCTGATAAGTCAAATCATGAGGAGCTACCAGAAATAAGGGCTAAGGAAGTTACAAAAATGATTGAATAGAATAAGAGAAGTAGATCAAGAAACAAATCCAGCACACCCGTCAGAGATAGAGTTGATGAATTTCTAGAGGATAGGAGAACATCTATATTCATGCTACCAATATAAAAAATAGTTCCAAGCAGAAAGAGATTTATTAAATTAGGTGAAGGCATTGATCATGAAGGTAACGTTTTGAAACCTTAACTTAAATCTGTCGAAAATGTCAAAAATATTTTGAATTAACTTCCTCCTTTTGATACTTAAGTCAAATTCGACAAATGTAAGCTATATATTATCGAATTATAAACTGCATTTAGTACCCTCGTTTCCTGTAAATGTTAGAAATTAGACTATGATCATGCAAGAGCAAGAGGAAGTTGATAAAAAACGTATTGTCATTCAGGGTACATTAGGAAAGATCCCATTAAACTATCCCTCGCCCTAATTTTCTAAGTCTTATGATAAAATTACAGAAGATCATATTCATAGAAAATAAGAACAAGAAAGTAGTAAGAAAAAATTAAAAAAATACCAAAATAAAAGTTTCATCAATGCTGAATTTTTAATTCAAAAGGATTAAGGGATCGAGGACAACTATAAAACTCCTAATTTTTCAGAAGATCAAGGTAATCAAGATAAAGTTTAGAAAGCTGGAAGTTAATAGATTAGGAAAATGGCTACTCTTGATTATTCAAATCTTACCGAAATGGAAGAGGAAAAGCATAATCAAGAATAAAAATCAAAACAAATTCATGAAAGCTTAGATCCAATTTACTAAAGACAAAGAGAGCTGAGAAAGAAGATGATGCACAAGAATAATATATTCTTTAATAGATAAATAATGATAGAAAAAAATTTGATTGATAAAAGCCAAGGAAAATACGGCTAAAATTACAGCAGGCTAATTGAGACATAATTTGACAGAACTTTAGAAAAGTATATGCATCCGGAAGATTTAGGTTTATGGCACAAGGAGGATATTGAGGATATAGAACAGAAAATCAAAAATTTCAAGTGAAATTTCAATGATGAAAGTTTTTCTAGATAAAAATTGTAGTAAAGTTATTTAATTTCATAAAATCTTTAGTTTAAGATCTAGGCGCTTCATGGGGTTTTGGGGTTTTGGGG